TGTGTGTGTGTGTGTGTCTGTGTGTGTGTTGGAGAGGGGAGTTAATTTCCAATGAGAGTGGAAAATGTGGGTAATGTGTGTGTTTGAGGAGGTTCCTTTAATCCCAGGGAGAGGAAAAGATGAGGGGGGAATTAACCAGAGATCACAGAGAAGATCACAGCCCAATCTGAGCAGGTCAGACCGATTTTTGAATCCACTTCATCAGGCTCCAGGGATCAACTCATTTGCCTCTTTGTCCAGGAAAATTGTGAGAAACCAGACAGTTCTTAGATCAACTGCCACTATTTACTTTAATTTTTGTCACTTTTCTTCCTCTTTTAGAAACACAGAGGCAGCATGGAAGAGAACTGAGGAGTGAGAGTAACTGAAGTTACTGTAAAGAAGATTATTGTAAAGATAAACCACTTTTTGCCCCTCCTTCTTTTCCTGTTCAGGTGTAAAGGGCCATTTATTTTTTATACATTCATGATTACAGTTCCCTATGATTTTAGTTCGAATTTTGACATTATTCTTAAACAACATAAACTTGCTTTAAAAGCAGGAATGGCCAAGTGGGTAAAGCAGCATCATTTCACAATATCCACACCCAGCGAGGCGTTACACATCTTTGGAAACTTCACCTTCGCCGTGTTGAGGTTTTAGCGGTTGCAACCTTGTCGGCCAAACACAACAAGCAACAGCTCATCAGAAACAGCATCAAACTGGAGGAACAGCACAGAGAGAGAGATGAACACATCGGTCCCGTTTACACATTGGACGTCGCCGAGCACAGCGGAGTGGAAGCAAACAACAGTGGGATGGTCACACAGTGGGGCGTCATCATGACAAGACACTGAGGGCTTCTGTCAGCATCTTCAGCTCGTCCTTCACTCTCTCCAGGCCTCCCTGGATCTTCAGCGGGTTGTCCAGGACCTCGATGCTGCTGGTTAAGGGGTCGAACCTCACCGAGAAGGGACGCTTGATACTGGCCACGTAAGTCCTGGTGGAAGATAGTGAAGATGTCAGAAATCAAGGCCCAATTACCAGTCCCTTTAAATTCAATCATTTTTATCGATTTTTATTCAGCACGCTCCATGAACCTGGGAAAAAAGTGGAAATGTTGAAGAACACCCGATCTCACAATGTTTAAGAAAGTGATACAAACGTCCTTGATCTGCCCCCTGTTACACAACCGCAGCAACATTGAAAAGGGTTCCTCCCTGACTCATACCACCTCCTTCCCCCAAGTTTAGAGCACATCTGTCCAGTTGTTTTTGTGTAACCTTGCTCACAAACAAACCAACAAACAAAGGGCCAAACAGTGAGAACACAACCTCATCCGTGGAGGCAATAACGTATATGACCTTAAAGTTCAGGTCTTCAATGAGCACTTCATTAAGCTTCGCTGGCGGAGATTTGGAAACCCAAATATTCCGTCCCTCTAGTTGTGGTTCTGTACGGAGCCCGGGATATCCTCCTTATTCCAGTGTGACATTTATAATCTTTCATTTTCATATTTCATATTTACAACGCCGGGGCTGCACAAACATTCCCGTGCTGATACCCTCTCATCCAGTGTGTCAGGGAGATGTCATGTGCTATATTCTACCAGAGACCAAATACTGTCAAAACACCCACTAAAGCCACTTGTTTTGCAGGGCAACATTTGATGTGTTTGCCAAATAAAACTCCAGCGTTTTGCCTTGGTAAGAAACACTACATTAGTAACAGCTGTCTTCTGGCTGCTATGGCTGACCCACAAACATTTGTGGCCTTAGGGGCTGGCTGGCTGTTCTCTGACCTTGTCCTAACATAACCCCTCTCCTCTTTGTTTATTGGTTTTTTTCTTCTTCTTTTTGTTCTCCCTCTCTCTTTGTGCCTGTTTGTGCCAAAAAAGAAAGTACCTGAATTTCTCCTTGGCATCTGAGAAGCTCTCAGAGACAAAGTAGACGGGCTGGTACGTCTGGTCTTGATAAGGCTGAACCGCCGCAGACTCAGGTTTGAATTCCCTCGTCTCTGGTTCGTCAGACAGAGAGTGCTGCGTTCACGGTAAAATGAAAAGATGGAGAATTAGCTGTGATGGATGCACCTTTATCATCTAGTGGATGATATTGACATTTAGCATAGAGCAAAGGAAACATGCGGGGGAACGCACCACAAGCTCTCCATAAGAGGAGAGCAGCCCAGCACCATAAGCCTTCACCTCACCATTCTGTTTACATAAACCATACTCGACGGTGAACCAGTAGAGCTGATGGGACAAAAAATAAAGAGAGTGACTGAGAAAAAGAACAATAACAGGTCAGACAAACCATTTATTTATATGTCACATTTTAGATATGGTACTTGGGGGGGAGGAGGTGGGCTCAGATTGTTTTGGGAGAGTGGGGGGAGAATCTAGTTTTTTTTTTTCCTCTTTCATTTTCTTGCGAGATTCACTGAAAAACAAAAAACTCAGTCAAAATATTTATTTCCAGAAAATGACTTTTGTGTGTGCCACAGACCAAACAGTGTTTTTGGTGCAGTTCTGAGAAACGATATTTCCTCTACGGAGAAAACACCATGAGTTCAAACACATTTCAACAAGCCTAGAGGGGTCTAGCATTTTAAAAGTCAAACACAAGGTCCAGCCCGTCTCCCCACATCAATCCTTTCTGCACAGTTCCTAAGTATTTGCTGGAGTTGGAAGACGGGATTCTTACTGTGGACAGTTTCTCGATATCTTCATCTGAAGCCCCGAGTGATGCCAGACCGAGGTTCTGCAACAAGCAATCAACAATTTGTCATCAAAATATAATCTGGAACTAATAATCTACATATCTGAAAGACCGTCTGTCATTAACCTGTGAAAACTGGGCAAAGGTGCTGTCAGCCAGCATGGGGACGTGTCCCAAGAGCTCATGGACGCAGTCACTGATGAGAAAGAGAAAAAATCAGCTATGACCAGATTTGATCCAAATCCCAACCCAGATCAATTTAACCAAATACAGACTGTTATCACAAACTGGCAGCTCAGCATGGCTGAATCACAAAGCTGCGGTCAGGAAAATTGAAGACAGAAGTTCAATTTCATCCAGACTGACGAAAGAAAGAAAGAAAGAAAGAGAAAACTGTGATTGCTTGTATATAAGACGACTTCTTCAGTTAAATTTTTCATCCGTGTTTATGCCTCTGTGCCTTCGACAGCTGTGGCCGGAGGCATTGTGTTTTCATCTGCGCTCTTCCTGTGAAAAACGATTTCTCAGGATCAACTTGAGGCAATTTCTTCTAATTTGGCAAAAAC